AGGGAAATGCAAATTGAAAACCACAAGATACCACTAGAATACTAAATATATAAAATTAAAAAGATAACACCAAATATCAGAAGGGTGTGGTACAATCAGAACTCTTAAACTACCTTAGTGAAAGTGTGAAATGGTGTAATCACTTTTATCTGACAGCTTCTCTTAGGTTAAATATATGTCCCTCTTATGATCCAGCAATTCCACCTTTACCCAAGAGAGGTGAAAACAGAATTCTATCCAATTTGTCCAAATTCTTTTTCTTTTTAAAAAAATTTTTAAAAAATATATTTTATTGATTATGCCATTAGTTGTGCTTTTCCCCCCTTCATTCCCCTCCACCCTCCACACCCCCTCCCCCACTATTTCCCCCTTTAGTTTATGACCACATGTCTCAAGTTCTTTAGATTCTATATTTCCCATACTATTCTTGCCCTCCCCCCGTCTATTTCCTACCTACCATCTATGGTACTTATTCTCTGTACCTTCTCCCTCCTTCTCCTTCTCCCACTCCTCTGTTGCTAACCCTCCATGTGATCTTCATTTCTATGGTTCTGCTCCTGATCTAGCTGTCCTCTTAGTTTGCTTTTGTTTTAGGTGTGGTTCTTAATAACTGTGAGTTTGCTGTCCTTTCACTGTTCATCTTTTTTATCTTCTTTTTCTTAGGTAAGTCCCTTTAACATTTCATATAATAAGGGCTTGGTGATGATGAACTTCTTGAATTTGATCTTATCTGAGAAGCACTTTATCTGCCCTTCCATTCTAAATGAAAGCTTTGCTGGATAGAGCAATCTTGGATGGAGGTCCTTGCCTTGCATGACTTGGAATACTTCTTTCCAGCCCCTTCTTGCCTGTGAGGTCTCTTTTGAGAAATCAGCTGACAGTCTGATGGGAACTCCTTTGTAGGTGACTGTCCCCTTATCTCTTGCTGCTTCTAGGATTCTCTCCTTCATTTTTATCTTGGCTAATGTAATTATGATGTGCCTTGGTGTGTTCCTTCTTGGGTCCAACTTCTTGGGGACTCTCTGAGCCTCCTGGATTTCCTGGAAGTCTATTTCCTTTGCCAGATTGGGGAAGTTCTTCTTTATTATTTGTTCAAATAATTTTTCCACTCGTGGCTGTTCCTCTTCCTCTTCTGGTACCCCTATAATTCAGATGTTGGAACGTTTAAAGATGTTCTGAAGGTTCCTAAGCCTCTCATTGTTTTGAATTCTTGTTTCTTCATTCTTTTCTGTTTGGTCATTTTTTTCTTCCTTCTGGTCCACTCCCTTGATTTGAGTCCCAGTTTCCTTTCCATTACTATTGGTTTCCTGTGCATTACCATTCATTTTAATTAGTTTAGCCTTCATATCTTCCTCTAATTTGTGACTAAAATCAACCAGTTCTGTGAGCATTCTGATGACCAGTGTTTTTAACTGTGCATCTGGAAGTTTGTCTATTTCATCATCGCTTAGATTTATTGGCTCTGGGGCTCTGAGTTGTTCTTGAGCCATGTTTTGATCTGTTCGTGCCTGTTACATAAGAGGAGCGGAGCCTTAGGTGTTCACCAGGACGGGGCCACCCAGGTTGCTGGTTTGTGACGCTGTATGTGGGGGCAGGGTCAGAGAGGAACAATATTGGTCCCCTCTGCTGCTTCCCACCGCTGGGGCCTGCGCAGTCCGTCTCACTGCTTGCTCCTTCACCGGTTTATCTGCGCGTGAATGTGTGACCCAGGTCAGCCCTCAGTGGGTCTACCGCTACTCCACACCTAGGATCCACCCATGGCTGCTAGCGCGCTAGGTCGAGTGCACGGGTTGGTCTGGTGGATCTTTCCTGTCTGACCCTGCTCTGCTGCTGGCTCTGCCCCTCTTAACGGTTTGGCTGAAGGGTTCATTGTTGCCAGTCTTCTGTATAGTTCAATTTTCTGTGGTTTGGCTGTGTTTTTGTTGCTAAAACTTTGTTGTTTTTAAACTTGGTTGTGCAAGAAGGCACAGTGCTTCCACCTACGCCTCCATCTTGGTGGAAGTTCAATTTGTCCAAATTCTTTCTATCTGAAGAATTTGTCTTTGGTTGTTTTATGAGGTGAGGACTGGGTAGGCCCCTTGGATGGGGTGACATTGAGCACAGTCCAGAAGACACTGAGAGACAAGATGTGAGGATACCTGGTCCCCCTGTGAGGGACTAGATAAAGTCAAGGACTTGAGAGGAGAATGTAAATGTCCTGCCTGAGAAACAGTCAAGAGGACTTTATGACTTGAAAGGGAGTGAAAGAAGGTAAAAATGGCTGGAGGTAAAAATTATTTCCCTGATAAGCCTAAGATGTTATTCATCTTTTTCACTATTTGACATTTATTTGCATAGTGTATACAAAAGCAGTTATGGGTAAAATCACATCTTATTATGAATTAAAGTAGTGAAACCACACTGTACTAGCAGTCATTACATTGTTCACCACCAGCTTTCACAGAAAAAAAAAAAAAGCCAGTAATTATGTTCTAGAGGAAGCACTAAAAATTTATTGTTATTGATCTCAGCCCTTGATTACACTTTAAAAAAATTTCTCTACACAAAATCGGAAGCATATATAAGGTACTTCTTCCTAGTGAAGTATGACTGTCTTAAGAAAATGCACTTGTGTGATCAAGTTGTGCATTGAACTGGGTACTTTTTTCTTGGTACACTGTAACTGTGGTTATTCAGACTTGGGCACTTAGCAGACATTTTCTTGAAAGTGAATAAAGTAAATTTGTCACCTCAAGGGAAACTGACAATACTTGTTAATAACAAAATTCAAGCTTTCAAGCAAAAATTAGAACTTTAAATGGTTTGACAGCTTCCCAATACTTAAAGACTTTTCTGATGAAACCCATGGTGATACTGTGATTTTTGATACTGTACAACGAAATGAGTTTAGAAAATCTATGTAACTCATTAAACCAATATAGTCTAAATGAGAAATGCATGTTATGAAATTATGCACTGACAAAAGGTCTACTAAAAATGTAAGACAGATCAATGATCATGAAAGGTTCAAAGATGTTTTCAGAGTCAACAGTGCAGTTAACTTTTAAGAACCTACCACTTACTAAATAAGTTTTGCAGTAGTATCAGAGAATTAGCTGAGAAAACACCCCTCCCTTTTCAACTACATCATCTGTATGATGTGGACTTCTGTTATGTACTTCAAACAAAACACCGAACTACAACAGGCTGTATGCAGGAGTGAAAAGAATTGAGCTGTCTTCTATTATGCCAGACATTAGAAAGATTTGTAAAAATGTAAAATACCACCACTCTTCTCACTACTACATTTTTGTCTTGGAAAAGTTTTTTCATGCAAAATGTGTTATTTATGCTAACATGTCATGCATTTGTTTCTTAAATATTTAAAAATTTGTTTTAATTTCATATATAAATATTGACATGATATAAACCAAAGAAAAGCTGTTTATGGGTTCCAAATAATTTTTAAAATGCAAATGATCCTTGAGCCCCAAACTTTAAGAACCACCATTCTTTAGCTTCTCACTGGCCCTCTAGTGCAGCTAGTACCTCACTTATACCACAGGACCCCTCTTCTGATCTTAAGACTTCCAGCCTCTGAACTGTGAGAAATAATTCTGTTGAGTACAAGTTACCCAGTCTGTAGCATTTTGTTACAGTAGTTCAAACCAACTAAGATATTTATCTCCTAGGGAGGAAATCTAAAGGTATTTTTCTTGGAATAATACACTGTGTTGGAGGGCAGGGGATACTGAAAACAAGATAGATATGGCCATGCCCTTCCAAAAGAAGTAACAAAATATCTTGGATACTTTGTACAAGTTTAGTCAAGGCATAAAATTAAATTATAGTTCCTTATAATCCTGCTTCCGAGTCCATACCACCTCTGGCATTAACTTCCCCTTCCTAACATCTTCCTTCCTCTGAGAAGCAGTCAAGAAAAGCAAGTACAGAGAGAAGCAAACAGAGAAAACAAAGTACTTTCCTCCCATCCTTCTGAGGGGACCAATTTTCTATCTTTAGAAAAGGGTATCTAACTTTCCAAAAAAGATTCAGAGAAGATCATTTAAATGAATAAGGGAATGTAATATGTTAAAAAAAAAAGTATATGGTACAGAAAGAAAAAACAGGAAGTGCCTGAAGATAATAAGCAGCATCTTCAACCCTTGACACCCCAGCACAGAGGCTTCCTAAGGTAAGAAAAGCATCAAGGAGAAATGGTTAAGTGGCTTCCAAAAGAATTTAGATAAATTAATGAATGATGTGAGTCCATCACTCCTCCATTCAAAATTATTTATCAAGTACCAAACAAGCTTAGAGTGGAAGAGAAATGGTCTAGTGTGTCATCTCAGCTTTAGCAATGACTAGCTGGGCGACTCTGAGCCAAGTTATTTTTTCTTAAGCTTCAGTTTCCTCAACTATAAAATGCATAAAATATAGCCAGCTCTCAAGTTTGCTATGAAGATTAAATAATTAAAAGATAAAAGTGCTTAGCTGAGTTCCTAACACACACTATTGATTCAAAAAATGTTAGCTAAAATGATTGGTATTAATAGTGAAAATTTAAAAAAAGGAAAAGAAACCAACAAAAATCTCTTGATCTGCTTTTGAGAAGCTCAGTCTAATGAAGAATTCTGTTAAACTGAAATAAAATTGGAGAGCCCTGAAGAACACACCTAATCTTTGGAAATTTAATATGTAGCAAGTATATTACAGGTTCGCATAAAAGGTCCCCAGTTACTACTACCAGAGATATGGGCTAGATTACTTTATGTAATGCAGAGAGAGAGAGAGAGAGAGAGAAACAATGTTATAAATGACAGCCGAGGGCCAGTAAAAATATATCCAAGTAGGCCTCTTATATATTTAATAATTTTAGAAAACTACTTATAAGACTAATTCAAGAAACTGAGCAGATGCTATTTAATGGGCTTTATGTCACTGGAATAATGAGCTGCATCTATGGGGATTTAGCTCTAAATGCCCAATGTATCATTAATATAATTTCTAATAAAACTTACTCTTTCTCTTTAAGCTCTGGCAAATCCAAGTACCAGTGCTCTTCACTAATAATTTTCTTTTCCTCCTCTTCTAGTTGTTTCTTGGTTTCTGAGTCCAATCCCCTTTGCATGAACTGTCAAAATAAAACATAATCAGTGTCTGCAACTAATTTCTCCAAATTAGAGTTAAAGAAAACTCAAACAACTTTCCTCTTCCATTTGTTCTTCCCCATTTCTCCAGGAATCCCATCTCATGACTGAGGACTCTACAAATGTAGATGAAAGCAAAGTTACATGCATCTGTAAGCCTGCTTTTCAGTTGCATCTAGCCTCTGAAATGCTGATCAACTCTGTGGCTGCTCTTTATTCTAAAATTTGTGGAAGCTCAACTCAAAACAGGTCAGTAAACAGCAACCTTCTGCTTGTCTCTTTCGGACATTAGCTGCTGGGAGGGTAGAACAGAGAGAGAGGCTGAAAATCAATAGCTGTATTTCCAGGGGACAGGCAAACAAACTAAGAAGTTAATCACAGCAAAATGGTGAAGTATCAATACAGGAAAAAATAAATTCAGAAACCACCCAGCAGTTAGGCCTAGGATTCCACTGGTCTCCATTTACCCCTATTTCTTTCCCTTATCCAGGCTCCATATTGCTTTTTCCTCCACCCCAGCTGTTTCAAACAGGATTTTTAGACATAAGGGCTTTACCAATGATAAAGATGTGAGGCAACCAGATCTCCTTTGTGGAAAACAGCCAGACAGATTCTTGCCCAACTAAACACGAACTTACTCACATGACCCAGCAACTGTCCTCTTGGGCTTCTATCCCAGAGAAATGAAAACTTACGTTTACTAAAAAAACTTACACATGAATAATCAAATCAGCTTTATTTGTAACAGCTAAAAACTGAAAACAACCAAAATACTCTCCAACAGGTGAATGGTTAAAATAAACAGTATTACATCCACAGCATGGAACACTACTTTGCAATAAAAAGGATGTATTCATATATTCAACAACCTAAATGGATCTTAAGTGAATTATGCTGAGTGAATAAAGCCAATCTCAAAGGTTATATATAGTAAGATTCCACTGATATAACATCCTTAAAATAACAAAATTATATAAGTGAAAAATAGATTAGTGGTTGCTAGGGGTTAGGGATAACACAAGGGAGTGGGTGTGGCCACAAAGGGGTAGCTAGAGGGAAACTTGCGGTGCTAGAACAGCCACACAATCACAAATGAACGAAGGAGTGCAAGCAAAGTGGTGAAATTTGGGTAAGTTCTGTGGAATTGTACCACTGTCAATTTCCTGGCTTTGCACTATTTTCCTGTCTGTCCTCATCCTTTACTTGTGCCTATATCCTCAACAGAGAAAAGAACTGGCAGTTTCTGGAAAGCACACTCTGTAGTTCCCAGTCCTGCCTATGCTCTTCAACATTAGGCTTCCATTTTCTGCCTGACAAAATCCTCACTTGTGAAGGCCCAGAGTCGAGTTATTTGATAAACCTTCCTTGGTTCTACAACAGCCTTCTAAACACTGGTCTATTGTTCATTACACTTCTTCTATGTCTCCTAAAAGACTGAGATTGTGAATGTAGACCATATTCCTTGTTCATCTTATATTACTGGTACTTAGGTTGCTCCTGGTACACAGAAAAGCGTTCATTAAAGGTGGTGGGAATACAAATGATTCTAAACTTGACATTTTCCCAAACTTTTTTTCTTGGACGATTCTCTTTTAACATAAATGTCTCATTTCATTACTCATATTCTTTGTGATAAAACTCACCAATCCTGCCCTAGCTGGTGCAGCTCAGTGGACTGAGTGCTGGCTTGCGAACCAAGGGGTTGCTGGTTTGACTCCCAGTCAGGGCACATGCCCGGGTTGTGGGCTGGGTCCCTGGTGGGGGGATGTGTCAGAGGCAACCACACATTAATATTTTTCTCCCTTTCTCCCTCCCTTCCCCTCTCTAAAAATAAATAAAATCTTTTAAAAAAAACCCTGACCAATCCCATCCAACTACCCTTTACCTGCTATTTTTAAGTAGATATTCTTTATGGCATACAAATAGCTATATACATATGCACCAAAATACACTCGCACACACGCACAATATCTCTGTACATATGGAAAGGGTAGAAAACCCTGTGACTATGAATGAAACAACTGCAGACTTATGTAGCAGTTCAATTCTTCTGACTCCACAGCATCTAAGAACATAATCTAAAGCTAGTGATTTAGTTTTACTTGGAACAGAGGGTCTAGAGCAGGTATTACAAAATACAGTCCTTAGGTTACATTTCTGTTGTAAATAAAGTTTTACTGGAACAAAGCCATGTTCATTGGATTCAGAGGTACAATGACCAAACTGAGTAGAAAGACTGGTCCACAAACCTCAAGTATTTATCTATCCTTTTACAGAAAAAGTTCACCAACTCGTGTCTTAAGAATTCAAAAGAGCTAAAGTACAAATAAACTTACACCCTCTCTACAACAATTCCATCATACTGACATTCCAACTTCATTCTCCACTTTCTACTTTCCATCAGGATCAACCTCCAGCCGCCCCCCCCCCCCCCCCCCCCAAAGCTGAGCCAAATCAGAGGACTTCAAGTACAGTGGAAAACAAATGAGTCAAAGTTAAATCCTCAACCCTATCATTCTTGCTCCACACTTAGCTCTGGCTGAACAGCTACACTGTTTACAATAACCTCAGGTATCAGCTCCATCCCTTCTCATAAGGCACTCTACTGTCAATACATTCTTTCTGATCAATGATGAAGTTATTAACCCAAATAGTGAATCTGGGTATTCCCCCAGCATCCCCCCCCCTTGCTTCCAATATCTACTTGAGTCTCTCTCAACCACTTGGGTAAAGGGTGAATAATTTTCTTTAAAGTTAATGACTTCATTCTTAACTCCCAAGTCAGATCTTTGCTCTGGGCCCTACCCTCCAAGCACATTTTCATTTGACTTATTCCAAGAATTAAACAACTGCTAAAATCTTTTCAGTGGCTGTTCTGTTCATCTACTTCACTTTTTGAAATCTACATGATTACAAACCATAAGCCATGACAAAATTCTGTTCAGTAAAGATTCAAATTGTGCTAATATGCATGAAAGAGGTACTTTACAAACTGTAAATGACTTACTATTTTCACTCCCCCATTCATCCCTAGTTACACCCCAGCTCAATAAACATTCTGCACATGCAATATTTACTCTTTGATTTTTCAGAACATTATTTGAGCCAGCTTCTTTTTCCTGAAAATTTCAAAACTCTCTAAACATGACATCGAACACTTTACATTCATAAGTGTTCAGCAACTAGTAGTAATTGAGAGCAAAGGGGCTCTGGAGCCAGACTGCCTAAGTTTGAGTCTTGTCTACACTGCTTATTAACAGTAACTTCAGGCAATTCACTTATTTGTCTGTTTAAGTTGCCTGGACCATTAGAGAGGCATAATAACTATACCCACCTCAAGGGCTTAGATGATTTCTTGGCTTGATATATGCGAAGCACTTAGAACACTGGCACATAGCAAGAACTTTAAGTGTTGGCTATTACTATTGTTAAAGTTTTAAGGATTGGTTATTTCCCGTTTTAATTCCTATGTTCATTTTATCTACCCTTGTCTTTTTTAACATTTTGATATTATTTGATTAAATTCAAAATGTAAAAGTAATTTTGCTTGACATAACTCACTTTCACCTCAACTATTATAATACCATGGCACCACAAATGAAACACTCACCCAGGTCATCAGAACTTCTGGATGGTCTTTCTGACTGCAAACTTTGTCCCCTGTTGAATCTTTCTTTAAGTTTTCTCCACAGGATACAGTAAGAGGCACGGCTAATGATAACTGTTCCCCGGGTTCACCCAGTTCTCAAGGGAAAAAAAATCCTTAATCTTGCCTAAAATTCCCTGCTGTAACCTGTCTATTTTCCAGGCCATTTCTTGCTACTCGCCTTCAGACATACTGAATTATCTTTAGTTCTTCAAACCTCAGCATATACATTTCTTGGTCTTTGCCTCTCAGACTTCTGAACTCGCTCTTCACTCAGTTTATGTTGCTATGCCCCTACCCTACCCTTCGGTCTGTACGTAAGCACCACTTTCCACAGAAGCCTAAGTGAATTCCCAGGGCTTCAGGCATCACAGAACTTAGTACGCTGTATCCTAAATACCTGTCTATCTCTCACTCGAACACAGGCTTTATGAGAGAATCCTCTGAATTTCTAAGCCAGTACCCAGTACCTAACGCAGAGCAGGCGCTAAGTGAACGAATAAACGCGAGAGCTGGAGGCTCCATTGGTCCCCGGTACACCGCTTGCTTCGGCCTCGGACAGGCCAGGTGGACCGGGTGGTCTCGCCCCCCCATCCTGGATCCTCCGCACCTCGCACCTTCATGCGCAGTAAATTCTTGGATAATTTAGTCTTGCGCTCGGCCGCCATGATATCTTCCGCTGCGTCCCGCTCTCCAACGCATGCGTCATCGCCCATGCGCACTGCTACGTAAGCGGCGGTGCCCGGGACGTAGCACGCGTCTCCCCGCCTCCGGGCCCCGCCCTTGTGCTCCACGCCCGCACTTTCCCGGGCTTTTCGCGCGTCGCTTGAGGGAGTACTTACCGTCCCAGAAAGCTCAGGGTAAGGGCGCGACTGCCCACGCAGGGATGAGAGAGTCTTAATAGACTGAGGGAGACCCCAAAGAACCCGAAGTGTGAGCACTGGTTTCTCGCGGGTCTCGGCCGTGCTCTTGAGGCCCCGCACCAGGAGGTGAGTGGCCTGGCAGTCGCGAGAGCCGCCCGGCCTCTCAGACTCCGTCCTGCCCGGCCTCGCTGACTCAGTTGTCCTGGTGAGACCTTTGAGAGGGGTGCCACACTATCCCGCCTGCACAGTTTCTTTCACAGGCTTTTAACATGGATGGTGGCCTTCCTATGTTCTGCGTCGCTTTAAGTGTAATAGTTTATTTTATATTCACGAGACCCATGGGGTGATACTGTCCTTAATCACCGCGTTGCACTTGAGTAAATTGAGGTATAGAGAGGTTCCTTAGGTAGCCCAAAGTCAGGGTGAGGGAGGTGGATCTAAACTCAGTCTGGCCTCGAAAATATGAGAGAAAATGTTAAATTCACACGAACTGTTGTATGTGTCTTTGAACCTAAGTCATCTTTCTGTTAAATAGGAAGAATAGCAAGAGTTAGCAAAGGCATGATGAGAAGATGTTATTTTAATCTGACAAATCGAAATGAGAATAGGTTTGATGCTCTATACCACCTAAAAAGGCATTTTCCACACCATCCACAGGTGCCACACTTTGGAAAACATCCAACCTAATAGCATTTCAGTTGATAGTCTGCACTATATGCCAAATTCTTGTGCTGGGTACCATATGTATATTATTTTTAATTTTCATAAGAACTCTGAAGAAGGTATTGTTGTATGGTATTAGGTATTAGGGAACCTGTGGCCCACAGAGGCTAAGGGACTTGTCAGTTCTCACAGCTAGTGTTAGAGCTGAGATTCAGGAAGCTGCATAAAAGTGCAACCCCTCTTGGGCAGGTTTTCTCAATGGATTAAGTAAAGTCATAACGTGGTAAGTGGTTATAGAAACTCATTCGTTCATAACTCTACATGAGACACTGGGCTAATATCTAGGCTACAGTAGTTTGGAAAAACACATAACCTTTCCTTGGAGCTGATGTTCTCGTGTGTGCCATGGAAGAAAGAAAGTGATGTGATAAAGGGATTTTTATGGTTACTTTAAATAAGGCGGCCTGGAACGGTTCTTGTCACGTGATGGTGCTAAGGCTTGGAAGTTGAAAAAAACCTGTTGTATGAAGAGTTGGAGGTAGACTGTTCTAAAAAGAGGAAAAAAATAACTGTTAAAATCCTGAAAGGAGAACAAGATGGTTGTCATAGAGTTTACCAAATGGGAACAGCAGAGGTAATCACATGTTATGGGTTAAATTGTGTTCCTCCAAAGTCATTAGAATTTTGTCTCAGAATATGACTGTATTTGGAGATAGGGCCTTTAAAGAGGTGATTAACTGAAGTGAGACCCATAGGGTAGGTCCTAATTCAATCTGACTGGTGTACTTACATGAAGAGGAAATTTGGGCACACAGGGAGACACTAGGTATGCACATGCACAGAGGAACGGTCATGTGAGGACATGGAATAGGTAGGAGAGAGGCCTTGGGAGAAACCAAATGCGCCTGTACCTTGACCTTGAACTTCTAACATACAGAACTGTGATAAAATACGCATAAAGTTTTGTTGTGTAAGCCACTCAGTCCATACTATTTTGTTATGGAAGCCCTAGCAAACTAAAATACCACATAATTAGCTATAGATTACAATTGGAATGAGAGCCCTATAAGAAAAGTATGGAATTTGTGAGAAGGAATAGCAAATGTACCTAAACCATCTGGCCTGGAAAAAGGAAGATCGCTTAAGTATGTTATATTTCAGTTGTGATCTGAAAGGAATTAGGCTGGGGAAAGGCCTAATCAGTTCTGTGCTACCAGCACTCCATGCATCCCCAGAACATTCCATCTTGTAAAATGGAAACTGCACCAATTAAACAATAATTCCCCATTTCCCTTCCTCCCCTGCAACCACTATTCTACTTTCTGTATGAATTTGATTTTTGTTCAGGATTTAGAAAGAAGTTCTGTGGGGTCAGAGGTGAAGTGAATCAGTCTGACATCTGCATCCAGCAAACAGCTGACTTTCAATTAGATCTTGCAAGATGACTGCTTGTCTTGTCAGTGTAAGAGGAAAATAAAATAATTGCTGACAGAAATAAGAGCATATATATATCAGCTAAGGATGCTAGAAGCTGCACATCTCTACAGAACTCTGTTGTTACTAGTGTATTTGCACACTGGATTCTGATTTGTTTTCCAGACACAGTGCTTCATTTTGCCACTCTTCTACTCCAAAATGTATAATAACTTATTTTCTGAGGGATGAAGATCAAATTCTTCAACCTGCCACTCAAAATTTTACATTTTTGACAGTGAAACTACTTACAATTAAAGCTAATCTTTAAAATCTCTTCCCACCCATCAAAATGTGATAAATGAGCCCTGGCTGGTGTGGCTCAGTGAATTGAGTGCTAGCCTTTGATCAAAGGGTTGCAAGTTTGATTCCCAGTCAGGGCACATGCCTGGGTTGCAGGCCAGGTTCCTGGCAGGGGGCACGTGAAAGGCAAGCACACATTGATGTTACCCTCCCTTTCTTTCTCCTTCCTTTCCTCTTTCTCTAAAAAATAAATAAATTTTAAAAATCTACTAAACATGTAATTAATGAGAAGTGATTTAAGAGTACATAATCATGTAATTTTAACTTTGAATTAAACTCCCTGACAGGAAAGATAACTCTTTCATCTCTAAGCTACTAAATTGTAGAATACAGAGGGTAGATCTCAAACTCAAGAATGTTTAACCTGTTTTAGTTACACAAGCAAGGAAACATTATTTTGGGGAAGAGATATTTATATAGGTCTTCATACAATTCTGAATCCTTTCATAATGAAATTTGTTGGAAGTGTGAGAACCTCTAATTCCTTCCAACTACTAGATGTATCAAGGAGATGTCCCCCGAGACTCTTTGTTCTTGTAGCCATTTATAGATGGTGGGGCAAAAGAAGGTTTACAGTTGTTTGTATGGACAATAATGTAATAATTGGTACCAATACAAGGATAAACTTTCACACACTCACAACTGTAAGCCTACTTTTGCCCCACCCTGTAGATAAGGCTGTACAGTCCCTTAAGTAGGCCTACTTCTATGTAGCTACCACGCACTTGAAATATGACTAAGAAACTGAATACTTAAGTAATTTTAGTTACATTTGAAAACTAGCAGTGTAAACTATTTTCCTCTTATACCCATTTTATTGTTTTGGAAGGACTGCATTTCACGTTAAGCTGAAAATTTAGCATTTGAGTGGACATGGGTTGTAAGTGTCAAATACCCATACATACCACATTTCAAAGAGTAAAAAAAGAAGTGAAATACCTTATATTTTCATATCAATTACACATAGTTTGGATGGATTAGTTTAAATAAAACCTAGCATCTGTTTTTTAATGCAGCTGCTAGAAAATTTACAATTACATATATGGCTTGCATTTCCCTCCCTCTCTCTTTTTCTCCTTCTCTTACTATCTGTATTAGTTTCTGTTATTTGGTTTGTTTGGTAAGTACCAGAAATTGATAATTATTTATTAAATAAAATGATGATTTATTAAAAGGATACTAAATAGTTCATAGAAGTAATGATGGTCTGAGAATAAAGCCAAGTTAAAAGGACAGAAACTAGGGTAATCCAAGGATTTAGGAAGCAGGAATTAATTTAGTACCTACTCAAGAATGATGAGCACCACTGATTTCTTTGTTCTTGGGACATTCTAATAGAAGAGAGTCTCATAGAGTCGTAGTTAAGTGAGAACAAGACCTGATTTATAATCCCTATGAGTATACAAAATGGGAGAGGGTAATTCTAAGAGAAATTAGGTGTTATAACCCAAAGAAGAGATAATCCTTATAAAAGCCAAAACAGCAACGCCAAGGACGAATATCTATTTAAGGCAGGAAAGAAGAGCATTATGTTGACATAGCCCTCAGGACAAATACTTGGTAGAGTGTCATTTGAGAAACTCATATTCAACATCAAATCTACCCTTTCTCTCAGGATGTGCTCCTTGTTCCTGCTCCCATATTTCATTTAACAAGCAAGTATTTATTGGTTGCCTGTTATATGCAAATTGGGACTCTAGGTCAGTTAGCTTAAAGACCTAGTATAATACATCCCTTCTGCTGTTACATTCAGTTACTTATCAAGTCCTATCAATTATTTGTTTAAGGTTATCTCCTGGCTATCTTACATTAGAGCATTAGTGCTGGAAGGGGCCTTTTGAAACATCCACGTAATTAATTCCTGAATCAGTCAATGGTTATGACAATGACCAGAGGAAATTAAAACATATCAGAAACAAAAATTATTTATGGTTTCTGGAGGATTTTGATGGTCAGCCACAAGTAGGAAACTACTAAGCTAGATGAATCTCTTTTTTTTAAGTCTTTTTTTTAAATGAATTTTTATTTTATTTTATTTTTTTATCTTTAAAGGGGAAGGGAAGGAGAGAAGGAGAGAAATATCAATGTATGGTTGCCTCTCGTGCGTCCCATGCTGGGAACTGGTGTGCAACCCAGGCATGTGCCCTACTGGGAATCGAACCTCGATTCTTGTGTTTGCAGGCCGGCACTCAATCCACTGAGCTACACCAGCCAGGATAATCTCTTAATTATATATACCAAATTGCATCAACTCAGAATTCAGATTTCTGAACTTTACATTTAACTTTATTTTTATTGTGCCCCATTCATTCTGTCTTTTCCATTGGTACAAGGAATTTATCCCTGAATTTAATGGCTAAATTTTACTACTTTATGACTGCCTTAGACTCCTGTTTTTTGTCTCTTGCCTTTTTCATTCTTTAACACTTATTTTTAATAACCTCATGTTCCCAGTCCTTTGATACATATTGGGGAAAACTGCTGTCCTCCCCTTCCCATGGTATGGCACAGACAAGGACGTATGTCCTAAGTGTTGTCATAGAAATGAGTTATGGCAA